GAAAACTCTGACTTCTCTTTTTTGAAAAATGAAATGGTCTTTCCTTTTACTCCCGATCAACAATCAAATATCATTTCTTGAATTATGAATAACACGAATGGATTGAAATATTTAATTAAATTATCTCAAAATAAACCTTCATTTCGGTGCAAGATTGAAATTAGCTTGAATTCTTCATAATCTCTGAATAGTGGGTGACCCAACGAGTCACGGGTGGTCTAGTTGATGCTAATAATGTGATGTCACAAACATTAAACCCGAGTACGCTGATTCCATGTCTTTATAGGTCTACTATTACAGGGGCTGAAAGTTGCGAACAAACAGAAACAAAATTAGCTTTATATATTATATATTTTTGTGCTCCGGCAATACCAAGCGTAGGGCGTGCGTTTACCTGATTCTATTTTATTACTTGTCAGGATCTCTACGAGCCTACCCTCAAATTGAAATTATTTTAGACAGGATTAGAGTAAATCAATCTATCAGACCTTGAGAGTGGACAAATACATCAATCGAAAGGGTTTGACCTCCTGAGTCCAAAACTGTAATTAAATGTGAAATCGGTCAAAAACAAACAAACTCGGAGCCATTCTATCAGCCGCTATGCCGCGGCTGAAAAGTGAAGTTGGCTTTGTTAGCTTAGTGATTCAAAACAGAAAATTTATCATTATAACAAGTGTTGTTCATAAAGACATTGATCTCTTATCATTAACGGAAAAGAAATAAAGGAAACGATATGTTTCACAGTGCCATCTATGATAAAAAGATTGAAACAAATGTTCAATTAATCAGAAAAGAATTAGGATCTCAGATCATTATAAGTTGGAGCGTTTTTTCCTTTTTGTTTGGGGATAATACAGCAACGACCAAACAAATTAGATTCATTCTTTTTACACTTATTATACGGTAGGACAACCGACACGCTTCCTCCCCCCTTAAATAATAGATAAATACAAACACGCGAGAGGAACGTTTGTAAGAATGGCAAATCCAAATAGTAAAATCAAAAAACTCGAAAGGAACGTTTGTTAGGATGGCAAATCCAAACAGTAAAATAAAAAAAACTCGAAAGGAACGTTTGTAAGGATGGCAAATCCAAACAGTAAAATAAAAAAAAACTCGAAAGGAACGTTTGTTAGGATGGCAAATCCAAACAGTAAAATAAAAAAACTCGAAAGGAACGTTTGTAAGGATGGCAAATTTAAACAGTAAAATAAAAAAACTCGAAAGGAACGTTTGTTAGGATGGCAAATCCAAACAGTAAAATCAAAAAACGCGAAACGAACGTTTGTAAGGATGGCAAATCCAAACAAGTAAAATCATTTAACTTTTTCTTAGA